AGGGTACCTGATGATAACATAGAGGGTATATGATGATAACATAGAGGGTATATGATGATAACATAGAAGGTATCTGGTGATAGCATAGAGGGTACCTGATGATAACATAGAGGGTATATGATGATAACATAGAGGGTATATGATGATAACATAGAGGATATCTGTTGATAACATAGAGGGTATCTGGTGATAACATAGAGGGTACCTGATGATAACATAGAGGGTACCTGATGATAACACAGAGGGTACCTGATGATAACATAGAGGGTATCTGTTGATAACATAGAGGGTATCTGATGATAACATAGAGGGTATATGATGATAGCATAGAGGGTACCTGATGATAACATAGAGGGTATATGATGATAACATAGAGGGTATATGATGATAACATAGAAGGTATCTGGTGATAACATAGAGGGTACCTGATGATAACATAGAGGGTATATGATGATAACATAGAGGGTATATGATGATAACATAGAGGATATCTGTTGATAACATAGAGGGTATCTGGTGATAACATAGAGGGTACCTGATGATAACATAGAGGGTACCTGATGATAACATAGAGGGTATCTGTTGATAACATAGAGGGTATCTGATGATAACATAGAGGGTATCTGATGATAACATAGAGGGTACCTGATGATAACATAGAGGGTATATGATGATAACATAGAGGGTATATGATGATAACATAGAGGATATCTGTTGATAACATAGAGGGTATCTGGTGATAACATAGAGGGTACCTGATGATAACATAGAGGGTATCTGTTGATAACATAGAGGGTATCTGATGATAACATAGAGGGTATATGATGATAACATAGAGGATATCTGATGATAACATAGAGGGTACCTGATAATAGTATAGAGTGTATCTGATGATAATTAACATAGATGGTATCTTGTGGCAGCAAAGAGGATATCTGATGATAGCATAGGGAGTATCTGGTGATAGCATAGAAGGTATCTGGTGATATCATAGAGGGTATCTGGTGAAAGCATAGAGGTATCTAGTGAAAGCATAGAAGGTATCTGATGATAGCATAGAAGGTATCTGATGATAGTATAGAGGGTGTCTGGTGACAGCCAAGAGGGGATCTAGTTACGTCATAAAATCAACATATGTATACAACATACGCCATAGTATTCAATGCAGTAATTTAGCTAAAATGCCAACAATCTCCGTGCTAGAATAGTCATCAGAGTGAGCTAAACATTGAATTAGCGATGCTGCATGGTAAACAATTAAATACATGTGAATATATTTATATAATTTTTGGTGGATGTAGTGTGCACTCAAATAAGGGTGACAGAACTTAGTCTCATCGTAATTAGTTAACAAGTTTTTCCCGCCAAATGTCTAAGAGCTTCACGTAACTTTTTATAGATGAGATTCATATATTATCTCTAGCACCACGTGACCCAAAGTCATAAATTATGAATCGATGATATGTAAACGCACCTACCTCGGAACGTGGTGACATCTGAGACATGACAAAAAACACCCATAATAATCCCTAGGGGCGACAATATTAACGCTTAATGTATATAACTAATTTAAAATTTTCTTTCTGTTATATGATTGGGTTGCATCATATTTTCTTGAGGTCGTTTACCAGTGAATTTTATTTCGTAGATCAGATGAAAGAGTGTTACTGTTTTTGGGCCAAATCAAATATGGCTGACGTCAAATTACTTTGGGCCAAATCAAATATAGCTGACGTCAAATTACTTTGGGCCAAATCAAATATGGCTGACGTCAACTTACTAATTACTATTATTCAATTATTTGCATTGTACATGGACATAACGTTTGTGTTTGACAAGTGGCCATGATAATAAAAACATGAATTAAGTAACAAATAACTTAACAGATGATAACTCTTTGTTCATTGAATATGTTGCCGTACAATATGATAATTTATTCTAACTAAGATTTTAAATGTCTCCTTTTGCGTAGTTCGTGTAGCGAGAAAACTGAAAATAAATAACATTGTGGTGCTGAAACCCACAAGCAAGATATAAAATTTACACAACAATTTTAACCTAGCCACCCCTATTAAGACAATGCTTCCGCCCATACTTAACTAACTGTATCTAGCAGAGTACGCGCTTAGTAGTTACATTTGTACGCACTTAATGTTAAATTCGTTAATTGTACCATGTTATGCAAATTATTACTGCTATGACATTGATAGTTCCAAAAGAAGTGTGCATATTCGATTACTGTAAAATGACTAATTTTCACTGGGTTTAAATTTTGCTGATTTACAATTAAATGGTATATTCAGTGGGTTTTAAATTCGTGGTTTTATCATTTAGATAATGTGTTCTATGCTAAATGTTACATATTCACTGGGTTTTAATTTAGCACATTTTCCAGTCAGAAAAATAAGCAAAATTAAAACCCAGTGAATAATTAACTAACTTGAATTAGTGCATGGTACTTTCCAATGTTCGGTGAACTGACCACGTAGTATTTCATAAAGCATGGTATATCATCTTATCTGACCGCTATCACGAAAATTTTTTTTCCAGGCACAGATTTTCCTATATATAACAACTAAACTAAAAAGTTTGTACATGTAATTCTACGCTTGAGGACTTGATACTTAACACTTGATACAGTTCAAGGGTGGGTATATGCCGATTTAGGCGTGGAAATGATAAATAAATATTATTACTTGTCAAAATAAGAAATTAAGAAAGTTATCTCCCTCCCCCAGAGTAAACGTAGCCGGATTGTCAAATCATAGACCTTTCTTTCTAAGGTCTATGGTCAAATCAACATTTCGTGGTACTTGAAAAACAAAACAAACACCATTAATTTGTTAATTACCACATTCACCGAACACGATGGACATGTACGTTCAGGTGACAGCTTAATGCTGGATTTGAGACGTTATGATGACATCATTATGTTCTGTTTGTGAATCCGCGGGAAACAAAACATATACCATTTTGTTCCAGTTTGTTCACCAATGAACCTTTTTTTTTAGTTAGCTACGATGATTCATCCAAAATGCAATGAAAATTTGTCTTTTGTTTAAAAAAAAACAAAAAAAACAATTTCGTATTTGCGAGTCTTGTGTTAACGTTGCTAATTATTTACATTGCAGTTAGAAGCCTACTTCTATGCAAACAAACAAAATGTATCCATTTTGAATTGTATTCCCGGATGAGGTGATAAGGGTGCCTTTTTTTCGAGAATGACGGTTATATTTTAGTGAATGGCGGCCATTTTGTCGGTAATTAGAAGTGCTTTTACCGCCCGTTCCTAAGTTACTGAGCATATGCCATATCTCAAAGGTTGTTGGTTGGTGATATCATATTAAAATGGTATATAATGACCTCTCGCTAAGTCGCGGGTGTCGGGTGTATAGTGAATGATAGGATACTGATTTTTAGTGATGACAAATGTTATTTTTCTATTAAAGCGCGGTAGTCGTCGCGCTGCGCATGTTCGACATTTGTGTTGATAAACATTGATTTTCCCACAATCCAATGCGCTCTTCAAATGGAAATCACAAGTATGAGGTTTGACCTGGGCGCGACTTGCACTGATTACCGCCGGTGACTCCTTCGATACCTTCCAATCACATGAAAATTACCTAATTAAAGCTTGAAAACGTGTCAGTTTGTACTCGTTGATCTGCGCAACAGTCGAAGTCGTCATCTTTGTTTATATGAGACCCACATATCTCGCACATGCGCAGCGCGACGACTACCGCGCTTTAACTTGTTTTTTTAATTTTATTTTTAACTTGTCATAAAGTTTAACTGTTCTGAAAATATTCATTTTGCAGATATCTTGCCATTTTTTCAAAATACAATACTGCTGCATTACAAGGTTTTTATGTTACCATGGCAACACCTTGATTGTGTGTATTAAACTATCGAAGATTGTCAACTTTCATAAAAAGTATGAATAGACTTCAAAGTGAAGTGATTTGCTAACGAACTCTCAAAACGAGGACACAATTACCCACAATCCTCTATGATTACCAGCTCTATCCAATATGGCGCAGGCACTCTTCGACGCGTTGGGAGGTTTGTATTAAAATATTTCTTTTTTTCTATTTTTTATTGATTTGCCATTATTCTTCAATATTTGTAGTTCGCGAAACTGTTCCTTTGGAATTTTATTGAACAGTTGGCTATTTTTTTCGACGCTCAGCTGTAGTTATTCAGGCGTCCATTTTCCCGACTATATGTATGTTGTGTAGCGCCGTTTTGATGAATTTAACGTTCAAAACATAGCTGACTTTAGTTTCTTTTGCGTAGAACACTTTCCATTGTTGTATTGAATGAAATAATCCAACCCCCAAAAAGCCAAAACAAGTTAATCCAGGTAGCATGTAATTGGAAATAACGCTCGCTGCAGTGGAAAATAGAAGCCTGACCGAATAAAATCGGTTCCCTCGGTTGTCTTTCTGTGTAAAGCAACATCGCGTTAGCCATCGAGCAACTGGCGTACACTTTTCACTATGTTTAACCAACTTCCATGGTCATTACTTCGCCCGAAAAAGTTTGAGATGTTGTTTTGTCACTTTGGTGTTGGTGGCCAGGGGTAGAGGGGGTTACAGGTGGAGAATATCTTGGAACAGCCTGGCCAGGGTGGTTCGTTTTTGTTGGAAAAGCTACAACACAATCCGCCGCCATTTTTTAGTTCATTGACTGTGTCCGTCTGATACGTCTTCACGTTCATGATTCCCTCGCCGTTTCTATCTTTGAAAATTGTTCCACAGTATTTTATATTCAGTATTTATCTAAGAGGGTTCACTCTGATGTACCGTATTGTCGCCTTTTAGTTGAATTTCAGCTTCAACCGACAGCTCCTAGGGCGGCAGCTCAACCGATTTCGAGGGCATGCTGTCTTTTACAATAGCCGGCATTGTTCGGTTACATTCCTCATATGCATGACTTTGTGCCTTCGTTCGATGGATGCCAAATATATCATGCAATGACAGCTTGATTGTTGGAGCTTATTTTGTTCTTTATAGCAATGGTTTGAAGTATTTTTAAAAAATGTGTGCCTGTAAATTATACTATTTTATTATAATTTGGATTTTACAAATTGACATTTGCCATAATGGTTAATTTACATATATCATGTTGAGATTGGTAGGTGTTGTGCTACTATTAAAATTTGTTTTAATTTGCTATAAATTGTTTGTTTGCTCTGCTTTGTGGTTTCTTGATTGTTTATGTTCAGTGAAAAAACAAGATATAGCCCCTACAGACACGCATCTCACCTTAAATGGAAGTAGGATGATATACATGTATTATGTTAAACTTCCAATCTGACTATATAATTAATGGCCCTAGAACACAGGCAATAATAATGTCCCTAATCAGCATATACAGTCAAAACCTCTGACGAGAGACACAGAAAACCTGCAAACATGTATTTTCACAGTTTGCAACTTTGAATATCATAGTACTGATTGTATACTAAATTTATATTGATTACATATGCATGCTTTACAGTTCTCTTGAAAACATATTCAGGGCAGGGAAGAAAAAGTAAAAGTCCCCTGTGCATAAACCAGTGGCAGTAAATACATCACCCTTTGTGTCAGGAAAAAACTATAAAGCATGTAAATATTTTGATTTGTTTTGGGATGCTAGCGATTATCCATGTTCATCCTATTTATCATGTCCATTGTATATTTTTAATATCCTATCCTTGATATGCTATGATCTGATTGGTTGATGCTTGCATTTTGAAATTGTGATGTCATCTACAAAAATGCCAAAACTAGGCTCATTTGACTTGCCAATATTATTTACCTTGTCCCTGTCATCATAGATGAAAGTCAAGGTACATGTTTATGAGAGAAAAATGTCTGTCCTTGTTGTTGTTGTTATTATCATTGTAAAACCTGGGCCCAACCCAGCTGCCATCTTTTTCACTTGTAAGTTATTTAATTTACAACGTTGTTATATAGTGTATATGCTATACTTTCAGTAGCATTTTGGCTGTTACAAATTGGTACTAACGGCACAGGAAATGTTTTATTTAAAAATAAAAATTAGAGAAAAAAGATCAATAGTTACAGCTAATGCCACTTTAAAGAAAAAACAAAATTGAAGATATTCTGGAAAATTAAAAAGGTAAACATTTGTGATCGGTTAGAATTTTAGAAGCCAGTAAATTACGAAAATCTGTCAAATCACATGGTTGAGTTTGTAGAAGGGGTGAAATTTGTACATGGTAGTCTTGTTAGAGTTGTTAAATCATTAAGATCAAAGAAACCGTACATGTACATAAAATTGCTTGGTCGTAAAATGTATGCACTACTCAAATTATGTATGTACATATATAATTACTTGTAGTTTCCAACGAACCCTTTTCATTTTTTCTGCTGCCCTTGTTCAGTACCCCTGACAAGGAGATTTCTTCTGTGACTCCTACATTTACCTATGTGTTAATTCTAGCATATGCACTTACAAGACCCTGTTTGTATGATGGAACGATTTAAAAAACAGTCAACATTTTTGATTCTTGATAATTTGAAAATAAGATTAAGTGCTTAGAATAAATAACACTTTTTAAGAAAGAAGAAAAATTGAAAAAAAAATCTATTTTCTGTTAAAATAATTTTCTTCATGTACTACATTAGAGGAACAACATGTTCCCACATGAAAGTGCCACTACATCCACACGATTTGTCACATGAAAAGCCGATTGATCAGTGTTGAATTCTCATCCATCAGAAGAATGTATTCTCTTAATAGAAAATGATTGCCTTGTTGAAACTAAGAAGGTCTGTCAGAGTGGCAATTTTTTGATAATTTTTTTTTTTTACTTCACAGTTGGGATGGACAACCAGACTGCTCTGGCTGTGCAGTCACTACTGGATAGCCAGAGTAGTGTCCAGGATCAGTCAACCAGTGCAGGTGAGTGGTTTAAATCCAGAATGTGTTGAGGATGAGAGGACATTGGCAT